GGGTAGTAACGAGAAAGACATACAATACGAAGCTGAGAGTCTGAACAGGAAGGAACAGATTTGAATTAAAACGCTATGTCATACAGCCTGCAAAGAATGGGTCCAGGGAGTGAATGGGAAGAGCAGATGGTGCAAAGAAGGATAGGGAGATAGGTTAAAGCTGAGGCAACACCCATGCTACCAAAGAGCCCAATGTAAAAAATCAGGACGAAAAATGACCACATACAGACATGGAACCAGAGTCACAGAGGGAAGAGGCAACGGGAGGAGGAAAGGCAAAATCAGTGATTATCCATGGGGCTCGGTAGATAGAGGAAAGGACAACACACTGAAAGACGGCAGGAAGAAAGAACAGGTGATTTAGAAAATCATCATGGAACTAGGTGGGAGAAGACATGGATGAATTGTAAAATTTCAGAGAATAGGGGGTACTTAGAAGGGAGAAACGACCGATCAAGCTGAATTCTCAGACAGAAGCCATGTGCGGAACAGGATCTCCCAGAGAAACCCACGGTTGAAAAGCTCGGAAGAGTCCAAGAAGGTGTTCCTAGACAGAGACAGAACACGACAGAGAGACAGCAGCTGAGGGAGAGGGACAAAAAAGCGAAAGGAAGCTAGGATGGAGACAAGGATGGAACCAGCAGAGGTCAGTCAGAAGCAGAACAAGGCAGCAAGGGCAAGCACACATCAACACAACTAATCTCAAACCCCACAACCTATCACACATCCCAACACACAATACAATCCATACCCACACTTCCACCCAACCACCCCCAATCCATAAAATCCCACAGTACATGCTACCAGGATCCTCCCACCCCTACACACAGCCCCCTAAACCACAGTGTTGGAAAGGAAAACGAAGGGTATGGTACACAAATCGCTGATGGAATAACAAACAAGGTGGGAGGAGTGGAAGGCGAAAGAACACAAAGAGGCCATCCACCAGACATCATAGCGATTCACAGAAACACAAGCTTACAGGAATGATAACAAAATGCCATCTTTCCTCCCAGCGGGATACCAGATCCTGAGAAAAGACAGAAGGATCGGGGGGGTGGAGGAGTGGCCCATTGCATGATCAAACACCGATGTGAATTTGATGAGGCTGGAGAGAGGAGACAGCGGTAAAGAAAGTGATTACATAGTGGGAACGCTTCACTCTGGTGGTCCAAAGGTGATATTGCAGTGATGTATACCAACACCAAACACACACAGAACAGCTGGAAGGCCAAGGCAAGAGTATGACGAGAGCAATAGAGCGATGGTTTGACACACTGGTGCAGTGGCCAGAAGGAGCTATGCATAGCAGGGCAAAGCTACTGATCATGGGTGACTTCAACCACAAGGAGATCGACTGGGAAGAACTTGGATCACTTGGGGCCAAAGATACATGGAGGGCCTAAGATGATGGAGGAGGTATTGGAAAAACTTCATGTAACCCAACACGAGTAAGGGACACTACCAGAGAGAGAGGAGAGGGGTGAACCAGCAAGACTGGACTTAGTATTCACCTTGAAGTAGTGCAGATATTGAGGACATCCACATATATAGACCCCTTGGGGCAACAGCGATCATGTGTTTTTGAGCTTCGAACACACAGTAGAGCTACAAGTGGAGGGGAAGCAGGAAGGCCAGGACAAATGAACCCAAACTACAGGAAAGGACTACACAGGAATGAGGAACTCCTGAATGAGGTTTCAGTGGGACAGAGAACTGGCAGGGAAGCCAAGTTAATGAGATGATGGAATATTATGTAGCAACAACAGTGTCAAGGAGCAGAGGAGAGGTTTACATAACCCAAGGGTACTAAGAGAAGAAAAATAAGGAATAAGAAAAAAAGAAACCAGGATGAGCCTATAATCCATGGTTCACCCACAAAATGCAAGGGAGGCAGAAAACCAAGTGTGCGATCTAGTGGAATGGAAGTAAATATAGAAGGGCGCAAAAGGACCTCATGAGAATAAGGAGAGAAGCAGTCGAGAGCCAGAAACGAATTATGCACAGATAAGAAGAGGGGAGGCCCAGCTCAATAGAAACGACTAGCAGCAAAAGCAAATCTGACAACCCAAAGCTGTTTACCGCCACATCTAGGAAGAACAACCCGTCAAGGACCAGGTAATCAGGCTACAGAAGGGGGGGGAAAAGAGAGACAACAAAGAAATGACCGCGTTGCAAGTATGTGGAGGAACTCAACAAGAGATTCAAAGAGGTGTTCACAGAGGAGACAAGAATGGCCCAGAAAGACGGGAGAGGTGGAGGTACACCACCATGTGCCTGGCACAGTACACACAACCGATGAAGAAGTGAAGGAGGCTTCCTGAGTGACTGATAACCTCACAGGCAATGGGGTCCAGAATAACATCTCCTCCATGGTCCTGAGGAGAAGGGAGTCAGAAGCGCTATGTGACCCCACAACAACAATAATCATACATCTATCAGAAACAGTGAGATATGCCCTGAGGCATGAAACAGCAAATGTGGTTCCCAATCTTTTAAAAAAGGAGACAGACATGAAGCACTAAACTACAGCGAACCAACAGTGTCACGTGACATGTATAGCTGCCAAAATCATGGAAAAGAATCTAATTGTCAGGAGAAGAATGGGGAACATCTAGAAAGAATGATCTCATCACAACACAGACAACATGTTTCAGAGAGACGGGAAAATCCTGTCACTAACTCTACCTGGAGTTTCCTATGACATGGTTTGACAACAGTACAGACAAGAAGAGAGAGGGGAGTGGGTGGAATTGCATTTTCTTGGACGGCGCAAGAAGCGTTTGAACCAGTACCCACACAAGAAGATTATGAAAAGACTGAGGAGGACCAAGCAGGATAACATGGAAGGTCACTGCAAGGACCTCGGGAATGCTTGTCAGGAAGACAGCAGCGCGAGTAATTCAGAACGTGCGAGGTGTCACGAGTGGGCACCTGTGACCAGCGGGTCGCCCACAGGGGTCAGTCCTAGGACCAGTGCTGTTTCTAGTATTTGTGCAACATGACGAGTAAGGAAATAAACTCCGAGTGTCCCTGTTTGCAGATGACGTAAGTTGATGACAGATTTCAGTCGATCGAAACCAGCAGAACTACAAAGGGATCTGGATAGGCTGCAGACCTGGTCCAGCAAACTGCTCCTGGAGTTCATCCTCCAAGTGCAAAGTCATGAGGGATTGGGAAGGGGCAAAGAAGACCGCGCGCAGACGGAGTACAGACTCTAGGGGCACAGAGACTACAAACATCACATCAAGGAAAAAGATCTATTTGGGTAGTATAACACCAGGCACATCTCCTGAAAGCGCACATCTCCAAATAACTGCTAGCAGCATATGGGCGACTGGCAAACCTCAGAACAGCATTCGACATCTTAATAAGGAATCGTTCAGGCCCCTGTACACCGAAATACGTTGGGCCCATTTGGAGTTGCAGCCCTTTGGAAACCCCACACCTACCAACACGTAAAGAAACTGAAAAAGTGAAAAGGGTTTGCAACAAGACGGGCCCCAGACAAGGGTATGCCATGGGGAGAGGTTAAGGAAAATCAACCTGAGACACTGGGGAAGGAGAAAAGGGGAGGGACATATAACGACTTACAAAATACTAAGGAAATTGACAAGGTGGACAAAGACAGGTTTCCCAAAAACTGGAACGAAACAAGGGGACACATTTAAGCTGAAGACCAATGAATAAAGGGATGTTGGGAAGTTTTTTTCCCCACAGGTAGTCAGGAAGGGGAAAAATTTTGGGAAGCGATGTAGTGGAGGCGGGACCATCATAGTTTTTAAGCAGAGGTACGAAAACTCACGGCTCGGGGAGAGTGACCTAGTAGCGACCCGTGAAGAGGGGGGGCCAGGAGCTTGGACCGACCCCGCAACCCCAACTGGTGAGTACAACTAGGGGAGTACAGGATTGGAAATAGAAACAATGACTTGTGGAGGCAGGGGAAACCCTACAAGCTTTAAGACGAGGATGATACAGTCAGGGGCTGTGTGGGCCGTACGATCAGGAAAAACGAGGCCCGGGGCTGATCTTGACCCCCTGAACCACAATTATTCGAGTACCACACCATACACACTAATAATAATAATAATAATATAAAAATAAAATCACAATCATTAAAAAACCCCTGTGTAATAAATAAATTTTAATTTTTTTTATTTTTTCTCGTATGAAAAGAATTTTATTATTATTATTATAATCAAGGGGGGAAACGCAAAACCCCGGGGAAATTTTACAGCGCCTGGGGGGGGGGATGTGGAAGGCTTCAGGCTTAATTCGGGGAACTGGAGCACAGATCCAATTCCCTAAATCAAGAGCCCTCACCAACATCAAGGAACCTTCCTTGAGGGGTCACATGAATGAAATCTCACGATATAAAAACAAGGAAGAATGTATATTTCGAGCTCCAGGTGAGGTCCTCTTCAGTTGAACGGGACCTCAAAGAGAAATGGAATTATACAGACTACCAATCTTCTTGATTTTTATCTAATGATCAATTTCCTCTCGTTTATCGGTGTTCATTTAGGTGTATAATAACACAGTTCTAATATCAGCATTTTTACGTAATAGATGGATCAGAATATTGGCAGTTGATAAATTGCATGTTATCAGCAGACATGTATTGAAAAGCTGGTTAGTAGCAGTAGCAGTAGCGATTTTTCCGGAGAAAAGCTGGTTAACTATCCGCTCTACATAAACACACTGTTCCAGCATTAGCAGGAGCACTGAAGCACCTACCCAAGCTGTAACAATAGCCCTGCAGCACCTACCCAAGCTATAACAATAGCCCTGCAGCACCTACCCAAGCTGTAACAATAGCCCTGCAGCACCTACCCAAGCTATAACAATAACCCTGAATCATCTGTCCAAGCAATAGCAATAGCTCTGAATCATCTGCCCAAGCTATAAAAATAGCCCTGCAGCACCTCAAGCAATAACAATAGCCCTGAAGCGCTTGCTGCAGTGAAGCAAACATATGGTGGAAAGAAGTGACCACTTACCTCAGCATTGAGAGGGATCATGGCGGGTGTTGTGATCAAGGCCAACGTCGAGATGTTTGTGGGTGTCACCGGCTGCCATAATACTCCCAGAGAGTTGTTTGGGGTCGGATTCCTGGTGAAGTTGTAACATCTAAGTAACAATGGCGATCCTTATTTTAATAAAGTACGGTGTACAATTCATATAGGATTTATTCCTGTGATTTACAGACTGGGAAAAGGCCCTGATTATGAGCCTAACATATTACTGAAACTACAGTTTCCCGAGTTAAAGCCCGTCGTTTGGTGACTGTTTATATATATATGTGTCGTGCGAATAGGTAAAATTGGTCATTTAGAAAGAACACGTTTAAAATTAAAGCCCTTTCTAAAATTTTCTCTTATACGTTTAAATATATTTTTTTTTCGTTTATGGTAATGTAAAAATAAATAATTTTGTACCAAAAGAACCTTAGAAAACTTACCTAACCTTATTACATCAAGCGCAATTTAATTTAACTTAATTCAATTAAATATATTTTAGATAAATTTCCAATAATTTAATAAACACAGTGAAATGCATGTTATTTGTTAGGTTCAGAATGATTTTTGCGAAATTATTGCATAAAATCAAAGAGCGTTGCTTTTAAGCCAAAAATCGCAAGTTTTACCTATTTGGCACGACATATATATATATATATATATATATATATATATATATATATATATAATATATATAATATATATATATATATATATATATATATATATATGTCGTGCCGAATATGTAAAACTGGTCAATTAGCAAGAACTCATTTAAAATTAAGTCCTTTCTAAAATTTTCTCTTACACGTTTAAAGATATTTTTTTTTTCATTAATGTTAATGTAAAAAATTTTAATTTTGCTCCAAAAGAATCTTAGAAAACTTACCTAACCTTATTATAACAACAACAATTTATTTGAGCCTAACCCAACTAAATATATTTTAGATTTGCTTACAATAATTTAATACTAAACAAACACAGTGAAACATATTTTTTTCGTTAGGTTCAGAATGATTTTGGCAAAGTTATTGCATACACAAATTTTCACTTGTCCTTTATAGCAATATGAGCGTTGCTATTTAAGCCAAGATGGCAAGTTCTGCCTATTCGGCACGACATATATATATATATATATATTATATATTTATATATATATATATATATATATATATATATATAATATATATATATAAATATATATAATATATATAAAATATATATATATATATATAATATATATAATATATAAAGATCACAGTAAACAGGTGATATCACAATATGATAATCCCTATGGAAAAAATAATGAAATTATAATCGCATTCGTGATTTCTCACATTATCCAATATAATTTACTAGACTGATAAAAAAATAATTATTAAACTGCACCTATGCAGTAAAAGGTGAAACAAAATTGACATTTTTTTGTATAAACATGGTGCAGGGCTCACCCCATGGAGGCAAAGTTGGTCCAGAGTGAGACCATCAGTTCCCGCAGTTGAAGGTCTTCAGGTGTGTCTAAAGTGGGTAAGGAGGCTGCACCCTCAAACAGATATTGCAAGTCGTCTCCGTGGCTCACCCCTGCAACACGCTGCAACAGTTTACCTGCCGAGCTAAGATGCAGTTGCCAAGTGGTAAGAAAGTCAGTGCTGGGAAGCTTTTACTGGTACAACGTTTGTCTTAAGGGTGAACACTATAATTTACTTGATAAGGTCTCCAGTAAAGGCTTCCTTGCAGTTCACGTAAACTTACAGGTAATGTACGAAGTGATTGAGACAATTTAACTGACAACTGTGTGTGGAGACACCAAGTACAAAACGAGCTTTAATTTCACGAAACATTTTGCTCAGGACTGAGCTTTATCAGGTTATTATAAAGCTCAGTCTTGAGCCAGGTGTTATCTGAGCTTTATCAGGTTATTATAAAGCTCGGTCTTGAGCCAGGTGTTATCTGAGCTTTATCAGGTTATTATAAAGCTCAGTCTTGAGCCAGGTGTTATCTGAGCTTTATCAGGTTATTATAAAGCTCAGTCTTGAGCCAGGTGTTATCTGAGCTTTATCAGGTTATTATAAAGCTCGGTCTTGAGCCAGGTGTTTATCTAGCTTTATCAGGTTATTATAAAGCTCGGTCTTGAGCCAGGTGTTATCTGAGCTTTATCAGGTTATTATAAAGCTCAGTTTTGAGCCAGATGTTATCTGAGCTTCATCAGGTTATTTTATAAAGCCAGATGTTATCTGAGCTTTATCAGGTTATTATAAAGCTCAGTCCTGAGAGATATGTTATCTAAAATAAAATAACTCTGCGTTACGTATTTATAAGACCAAGTTACCTGATACAGATTTAATACTTATAAATCTGCTGGGACTGTCAGAGAAACACTAAGTGGAAAAAATCCAGCTTTTGCGGTAGATTTAAATCCTTTCTGTTACACAAGGGTCATTATGGATACATTTATCCATACATGTCATTTATCCATGTATACTCATTTTGAGTTAGCAAATCTTCTTAGATATAGTATGGAGTCTACTTGGGTACCAAACTAGAGCGTATGGAGTCTACTTGGGTACCAAACTAGAGCGTATGGAGTCTACTTGGGTACCAAACTAGAACGTATGGAGTCTACTTGGGTACCAAACTAGAGCGTATGGAGTCTACTTGGGTACCAAACTAGAGCGTATGGAGTCTACTTGGGTACCAAACTAGAGCGTATGGAGTCTACTTGGGTACCAAACTAGAGCGTATGGAGTCTACTTGGGTACCAAACTAGAGCGTATGGAGTCTACTTGGGTACCAAACTAGAGCGTATGGAGTCTACTTGGGTACCAAACTAGAGCGTATGGAGTCTACTTGGGTACCAAACTAGAGCGTATGGAGTCTACTTGGGTACCAAACTAGAGCGTATGGAGTCTACTTGGGTACCAAACTAGAGCGTATGGAGTCTACTTGGGTACCAAACTAGAGCGTATGGAGTCTACTTGGGTACCAAACTAGAGCGTATGGAGTCTACCCTTGGGTACCAAACTAGAGCGTATGGAGTCTACTTGGGTACCAAACTAGAGCGTATGGAGTCTACTTGGGTACCAAACTAGAGCAATAACATGCTGCTGTTTTCACCTGCTATTTTTACCTGCTATTTTTACCTGCTATTTTTCCTTGCTATTTTTACCTGCTATTTTTATCTGCTATTTTCTCCTGCTATTTTCACCTGCTATTTTTACCTATTTTTACCTGCTATTTTCACCTGCTATTTTTACCTATTTTTACCTGCTATTTTCGCCTGCTATTTTACCTGCTATTTTCACCTGCTATTTTTACCTGCTATTTTCACCTGCTATTTTCACCTGCTATTTTCACCTGCTATTTTTACCTGCTATTTTCACCTGCTATTTTCACCTGCTATTTTCACCTGCTATTTTCACCTGTTATTTTCACCTGCTATTTTTACCTGCTATTTTTACCTGCTATTTTCACCTGCTATTTTTTACCTGCTATTTTCACCTGCTATTTTCACCTGCTATTTTCACCTGTTATTTTCACCTGCTATTTTTACCTGCTATTTTTACCTGCTATTTCACCTGCTATTTTCACCTGCTATTTTCACCTGCTATTTTTACCTGCTATTTTCACCTGCTATTTCACCTGCTATTTTTTACCTGCTATTTTCACCTGCTATTTTCACCTGCTATTTTCACCTGCTATTTTTACCTGCTATTTTCACCTGCTATTTTCACCTGCTATTTTCACCTGCTATTTTCACCTGTTATTTTCACCTGCTATTTTTACCTGCTATTTTTACCTGCTATTTTCACCTGCTATTTTCACCTGCTATTTTCACCTGCTATTTTCACCTGCTATTTTCACCTGCTATTTTCACCTGCTATAGCTATACCATTTTCAACCTATGGTTTCCAGTGTCAAATAAATAGCGTATTAAGTGTTCTTAATTTTTCCATATGCAAAAAAAGTAAATATATGTGGGAAACAAAACCAACGGATACGACTTATAGTGATGTGCAGCCGAGTGGTAGAACGCTAGGCTCACAACTAAGGACCCTGGGTTCGATTCCCAAACAGGGAGGACAAGGCATATAGGCGACTCTCCTTTCACCTTATACCAGTATAGAGGTAACTAGATGTTAGTAGGATTAGAGCAGGATTAAAGTCTTAATAGGCTCGGTGTGCACTCAAGATCTTAGATTCCAAGACAGACCTATAGATAAATATTTACTGTGCATACATTGCATTGTGCAGAACAGCCACTATGAAAAAATAGTGAAATTCCAAGCGCTTTCGTGACTTATCACATTATCAAGGAACTATGATAGTTTCTTGATAATGTGAGAAGTCACGAAAGCGCTTGGAATTTCATTATTCTTTCACAGTGGTTTATTCTGCATATTGTGATATCACCTGTTTACTGTGATCTTATTGCAACATCGCATTGCATGTAGTGCATATAATTTAACCAATTTGTACGGCTTAATTCACGAGTTTTGTTTGATCTTATTTCGACTCGAGGCATTGTCGTTGTCTGAATATTTTCTCGTATGATCTGAGCACTGCGGCCATTATGACTGATAGACAGTCCTGTGGTTAGTAATAAATCCTGAATTACCTACAATATGTTAGGAAAAAGAACACACTGCAACTAAGGTGACACTGCGGCAACGTTTCGCTCTCCAGGAGCTTTAACGTGTGTCCTACCTAAGTATCCGGTGGTCATATACGATAAATAGAAATGGGCTTAAGTGAATTTGGGAATTTTTTTTAAGGCGGTATGGAGATGATTTTGACTGGTTTCGGCTATAACTGGACTAACGTAGTTCTCAAAGTGGCAGAAACAATCGTTTCTTAGCAATTTTCTTAATGAGAGGCTACCTTCCCAGTCTGTTTTATGGATTTTAGAAAGATCTTACATATTAAATTTAACCAAGGGGAAAAACATACATTGATCTGTGATGGTAGTGTTGTAAGCGTCAGTGAGGCTGTACTGGCCACGGTGTTGAAGCACGTAAGCGAATACCAGGTTTCCCAGAGCAATACTCTGGGAGTGTAGGCGAGTTGTCTCGTGGTGAGGCACGTTAAAACCCCGGTCACCAAACAGCTGCACAGGTCACAACATGTGAATACAAGTATTGAGCACTGCAGAACATATAAGAATTAAGCACTGCAAAATATATAAGAATTAAGCACTGCAAAATGTATAAGAATTGAGCACTGCAAAATATATAATAATTGAGCACTGCAGAACATATAACTAAGCACTGCAGAACATATAATTGAGCACTGCAGAACATATAACTGAGCACTGCAGAACATATAACTAAGCACTGCAGAACATATAATTGAGCACTGCAGAACATTTAACTGAGCACTGCAGAACATATAATTGAGCACTGCAGAACATTTAACTGAGCACTGCAGAACATATAATTGAGCACTGCAGAACAAATAACTGAAAACTGTAAAGGGTTTAAAATCACCCTTTAACAATTTTCAAAACCAGAATTTACCAAGGCTGGCCCCTTTCCTAAAGAAAAAAAAATTTAAAAAGAAAAAAAAACAAAAACTGACAAACTTAAAAAAATTTTTTATTTAGAAAATATAAAAAAAAAACACTTAAATATAAATATTAAACCTACATTAAAAAAAAAATAAAAATTTAAAAAATAAAAGAAAACTAAAATTAAAAACGCAAATAAAAAAAAAATGTATATAAAACGGGGTGCCCGGGGTTTTTTTTGCCCACCGTTTTTTTGAAAAAAATTTAGCATTTGGGCTAAAGATGTGAGGGGGGGGGGGGGGCCCGGGGTTTTGATGACAACCCCCCGGGCCGTTCTTCACAAATTTTCTAGCTTTCCCAATAACCCTTTTCCAGTTTTAAGAAAAAAACAGGTTTTTTCCCCAAATGAAAAATGGGGTTTTTAATCCTGCTTTTTTGCATACACAAACGGGTAAGGGGAATAAAAAATTTGGGGACATCTCAAAAACGTTAGTCCTCTTTTTTAAAAATTCAAAACCGTTGATTGGCAGGTTACCCTCTCGGTCTCCAAGATTTGGTGCGGGGACTGTGAGCCCTGGGTGTTTAAATTTTTGGGGGAACCCGGGACCCCCCCAAAACTTTCACCTTTTCGGGGGGGGAAGGGGGAAAGGGGAAGGGATAGCGGGAGCTAGCCCGAACCCCTTAAAAAGCACCCAAGCAACCCAAACCAAATCATTTTCGGGGGGGGGGGGGGGGAAAGGGCGGGAATAGCGGAGCAAAGACTTCCCTTCCCTTTAACAAGTCCCCCGGCAACAAACTATCAAAATTTTGGGGAGGGAAAAAAGGGGGTGATGAAACTATTTTTACTAAAATCGCTATTTCCTATCTTTTAAAAATTTTTTTCCCTCACCCCCCCCCCTTCCCCAAAGATTTAAAATCAAGGAGTAAAAAAGGGAATAGGGGGAAAAAAGTTAAAAAACCAAGTGAAGTCCGCGTAACCCCCCCCAAATCTTCTACTGACTGCACGACTTAAACCCAAATTAAAGAAAAATTTAAATTTTGGAAAGAACCTTGATATACACAATAGGGAACTTAAAACCCCTGGAGTCCCCAAGGTCCATCCAAGAGGCATTTTTTGGTTTCCCCCTTAAAATTTTCCCTGGGTAAAATAAAAGGTTTGTGGTCCGTTTTAAAATGAATTTTTTTCCCGAAATAAAATTTAAGTTTGGAGAAAACCCCACACAAGGGCCTAACATTCCTTTTCTATGTTGGATATCTGTTTCTGCGGGAAGGGTTTCCGGCTTAGGAAGCATACAGGGAAGGAGTACCATCATGGTATTGTATAACAACGCACCTAAGCCAGTATTGGAAGGCATCAGTTCTCAAACAAAATGTTTTATTAATTTTCTGGAATCTTAAGTATAGGGATCTTTCGAGAAGATATTTTTAATCTCATTAAACTTTTTCCGAGTTACGTCGGAGAGTTCAAGAGGTTCCTTCACAGACTTTTTAAGGAAGTCGGAAATTAAGATGCCTGTAAGATCAGTAAGGTTCGGGATAAACTGTGCATAAAATTTACAGACCAAGAAAGCTACGCATGAGCTTCTTGATTTTGGGGAATTTAAATTCTAATAAAGCTTTGATCTTACTGGGGAGAGACTGAGAGAGTTATTAGAAAGTATCAGTCCAAGATATCTAATCTTGTTATACCCAAGGAAGCATTTCTTCGGCTTGGCAGTGAGGCCATGTGAGCGTAACCTACGCAAAACTGATGTTAGTGTTTGGATATCTTTGCCCCACGTGGATGTCATTAAGTAAATGTTATCAAAATAAACTGAAACATTTGGCATATTACCCAAGACCTTTCTCATAAGTCTCACTTAGGTGCAAGGCAGTTACCAAACCGAAGGGATAGTTCTATATTTCATCAGTCCTTGGTGTGTAGGAAAAGCGGTGTACTGCTTGAAGAAGGATCTAACATTACTTGATGATATGCCTGCGCAATATCAATCTCTGAAAATGAGAGTTATAAAATTTGTGTAGATCGCTATCTATTAAGGGCATAGGCTCGCATCCCACCGAGTTATAGCTTAAGGCCTCTGAAGTCAATAGCAAGTCTATATGAATTTCCTCCTTCTTAAACCATGACTACTTGTGAGCAATATGAAGATACTGAAGGTTCAATGATCTTTAGTTTTTAATAATTTGTCTACCTCTCGGTCAAATGCATCCCTAAGGTGAAGTGGAACTGGGTATAATTTTTGTTTTATAGGATTGTTCCGTCACTAAGTCAATCTTTTGGACTACCGTGGGGGGTAACACCTGGAATATCAAAAAAGACGTCTGAAAAGTTACTCACACATGACGTAGTTCATGTCTCTTATGGTCATCCAAAGATTCATTAATTTTTAAAAGTTGTTGCGCCCGAGTGGTCAAGAGTCACCAAGTCATGTAGTTCTTCATCTTTGTCTAAGTTAGAGGTGTCAATTACGCACACCTTACATTCTTCAGTTTTTCGTATCAAGTTCGTGTGGAAAAACTAAGTCAAAGTTATTAAGGCAGTTACCCAATTTCTTCGGTAATAATTTTTTAAGGATGTTGATATGATAAAGCTTAGGTTTCCCCTTGACTTCTATGAGGTAGTCAACTTTCCCACAAATTTTTAATACTTTTTATGGACCTTTCCATGCTCCTAATAATTTATTTGACTTGATAGGCCAAAAGTACCAGAACTTCATCTCCTACTTTTTAAAAATTCTCCTCTGACTTTGGAATCAAAATATGTTTTGTACGGTCCATTGACAAGCTTAAGTTTTTCGAAAAATATTTCAGAGGTCTCCTCAAGTTTGGATCTAAGGTCAAGGAGAAACTGGGTTTAAAAAGACTGAACCTCAGCATTTACCTCCTCATTAGTCCATAAGTCGTGAAGGATGGGCAATGGGCCTCTGGGCCCGTCCCACCATAGGAAGTTCCAAAAGGTGAAAACCCTGAAGAGCCACTGGGAACTTCCCTCATGGCAAAACAAAGCACAGGGTAGGTAACGATGCCAATCCTTAGGTTTAAGGGAGCAAAGTTTCCTTAAAATGGACTTTAGAATCGAACGCTGGCGTTTCAATCCTCCCATTACAGCTGGGATGATAGGGTGTGGTGAAGAGAGTCTCACTCCCAGAGTTGGTATAGATGTTGCATTAAGTCAGCTGAGAATTGTTGTCCCACGTCAGACAAAATTTTCACTAGGGGATTCCACTCTGGAGAAGATGGACAAAAAGGGCTTCAGCCACCTCTGTAGTATTATGGTCTTTAAAGGTAACGGCTTCAGGGAAACTCGAAGCATAGTCAACTAAGTTAATATATATCTATTGTCCCCGATGAAAGGGAGATAAAGGACCCAACGATGCTCAAATAGCTACTCTTTCAAAAGGTACCGTAAAGACAGGCATTTTTGACACTAGGTACTCGCTGGTACCTCGGAGGACGACGTTAGGCAAAATTTTACACGATCTACAATAGGTAGTGACATCGAGGACATTTTTGGCCAAAAAATGGGTTTCCCTAATTTATTTAAGGTTTTAAACGATGCAGAAATGGTCCGGCCACTGGAAGGTCATGACCCATTTTAAAACAGTCTCTCTGCCATTGACTTGGAACAACTAAGATGGAATATCTATCTCATCTGACTTTAATTTGAATACTGACTTGTACAAATTTTTTTTTTTTTTTTTCAACAAGTTGATCGTCTCCCACCGAGGCAGGTTGACCCAAAAAAAGAAGAAAATCCCCAACAAGAAAATACTATCATCATCATTCACACTTTCACCACACTCACATATTATCACTGGCTTTTGCAGAGGGCTCAGAATACAACTGTTTAGAAGCATATACGTATAAAGATACACAACATAATCCCTCCAAACCGCTAATATCCTAACCCCTCCTTTAAAGTGCAGGACATTGTACTTCCTCATTTCCAGGACCAAGTCCGAACTATAAGAAAATAACCGTTTCCCTGAATTCCCTTCACTAAATATACCTTGCTCACACACCAACAGATCGTCAAGGTCCCAAGTACCATTCGTACTCCATTCACTCCTATCTAACACGCTCATGGCACGCTTTCTGGAAGTGCCAAGCCCCTCGCCCACAAAACCTCCTTTACGCCCCTCTATTCCAACCATTTCGAGGACGACCCCTACCCCTCTTTCCTTCCCCCTATAGATTTATATGCCTTCCCAGTCCATTCTACTTTGATCCATTCTCTCTAAATGACCAAACACCTCAACAACCCATCTTCAGCCCTCTGACTAATGCTTTTATTAATTCCACACCTCTCCTAATTCCACACTCCAAATTTTTTTGCAAAATTTTTACACCACACATTCCCTTTTTCAGGACACCCCCTCCCTCCAACCTTTCCCTCGTGCTGTTTTTCCCACCCAAGTTCACATCTATAAGAGTTTTGGGTACTTCTTATTTTCATAAACCCCTTTTTTCCCCCTCCTAGAAAACGTTTTTTGACTCCACTATCCTAACGCCCCACTCCCTTTTTTTCCCCTCTCAATTCTATGTTAAACCTCATCCTTATAAATCATCCGCCGACCGTCAACTCCCAAGATCGAAAAACT